ATGGAAAAAGAAAGAAAAAATAAGTATACAAAATTTATGAAGAAAAATTGTATAAGAATAACTAATTACAATTTTGAATAAGTATGATGAGAGAAGGCTGATTACAACATTACAGCCATTAAGACAGTGTGGTAATAGATTAATTAAAGAGAATTAAAAATATAAGATTTTAGGAAACTCAGGTAACCCTCATCCTTTGCCAACCTCTGACCTGCGGGTTCTGAAACATCTGCAAGACAAATCCCTGGGCACCACAGAAGTCGCAAAATGAACTGTCTTCCTATTGTACCAAAGACCTATTGCCAGAGCAGGGCATAAAAGACCCATTTCAGAAATCAATAATGAGACTATATGGAAGATGTGGCCTTGAAAATATATACTTAAAGAGAGATTGGGAGTGTGTGGGTGAGTGTAAGAAGCAGAAATTATGTTCTTATAGTCTTACCCAATGTTTGTCAAGTTGCTACAGAAAAATCTTGAAATGTTATAAATGTATTGCAGTCTTTAGCAAATCATCAAATCTAAATAGACACAAGAAAAGACATACTGGAGAGAAAAGTTTCAAACTTAATGAATGTGGCAAAATTTTTAATCACAGCAGTAATGTTTCTGGACATAGGAAAATTCATACCAGAGAGAAACCCTACAAGTGTGAAGAATATGGAAAACCCTTTAACCATTGCTCGAAACTTATTATACATATGAGAATTCACACTGGAGAGAAACCCTATAAATGTGAAGAATGTGGTGAAGCCTTTAACCAGTCCTCAATCCTTACTCAACATAAAAGAATCCACACTGGAGAGAAACCCTACAAATGTTATGAATGTGGCAAAGCCTTTACCCGGCATATAATCCTTACTCTACATAAAAGAATTCATATGGGAGACAAACCATACAAATGTAAAGAATGTGGCAAAGCCTTTACCCAGCGCACAGGCCTTGCTGAACATAAAAGAATTCATACTGGTGTAAAGCCCCACAAATGTGAAGAATGTGGCAAAGCCTTTACCCGGTGCACACACCTTACTCAACATAGAAGAATCCATACTGGAGAGAAACCCTACAAATGTGAAGAATGTGGCAAAGCATTTACCCAGTGCACACACCTTACTCTACATAAAAAAATCCATACTGGAGAGAAACCCTACAAATGTGAAGAATGTGGCAAAGCCTTTACCCGGTGCACATACCTTACTAAACATAGAAGAATCCATACCGTAGAGAAACCCTACAAATGTGAAGAATGTGGCAAAGCCTTTACCCGTTGCACACACCTTACTCGACATAAAAGAATTCATACAGGAGAGAAACCCTACAAATGTGAGGAATGTGGCAAAGCCTTTACCCAGTCCTCCACCCTTAGTCAACATAAAAGAATTCATACTGGTGAGAAAATGTAAAAATGTGCATAATGTGGCAAAGCCTTTATCTGGCTAAGAGACCTCACTCTACATAAATGAATCCATACAGGAGAGAAACACTACAAATGTGAGGAATGTGGCAAAGCGTTTTCCCAGTGCTTACACCTTAATCTACATAAAAGAATTCATAACAGAGAAAAATCTGTGAATGTGAAAATTGTGGCAAAGTTTTTAATAACTGCTCACATCTTATTCAACATCAAAGAAATCATACTAGTAAAAGTTAGATAAATGTAATGAGTATGTAAGTGCCTTACCAAAGTGTTAGCTTTAAAATGTACAACAGTACTTATACTTAAATTAAAAAATTATAATGTAGAGTGCCGACAATAACTTTAGTTATGACAGAGATCTTATTGGACATAGGAGAACTTACACTAAAAGAAATGCTCCAATATTTTCTCAAACATTGCTCAACATCACAAAAAATTTAAGGAATAGAAACCTTACAAATATAATGAATATGAAAAAATATTTATGCAAAGATATAACTTAGAGAACAACAAACAATTGATATTTAAATCCATTTTAATAAATTTCAGAACATGATTAATCAAGAATCAAGTCTAATCATATATCAGATGACTCACAGTGCAATACACTAATGCACTAACACATTCTCACATTTCCTTAAACCATGTTGTTGATTATAGAGAACAACCCAGTTAAAATAGTTAGTTGATTTATTTGTATGTCAGCTTTGAAAAAGAGAGAGATTTTGTGAGAGTTATAATTACATGTAAAATATACTTTCTGGTCAGGGTGGGGTGAAAATGTAATAAAGTATAATTTTTTTGCTATTTTTGACAAGCAAATACTGATATTATTCAACTTTAAATACAGTAGATGGTATGCTTTCATTCTTAGCGTGTATGTGAATGTGTGTGGTTAATGATAGCTACATCACATTTATTAGAAGTCTTTCTGTATTAAGTAGGCATTATTCATGTACTTTTCTATGGAAAATTAAAAACACTGAAATGTAAGATTTATGAAATGGATAGGTACTATGGAGTTTTCTAATAACAAACAGTATCTTAAGTGATGTATGATGTAGGTATACAGACTAATATTCTCATAATCGGAATGAAAAAATTACAATATTAAAATTAACTTGTTTTAGTATTGCACATTATGATAAGAAAATAGAATGGAATTTGGAATATTTTTGGACTACATGTAAACTTAATTTATTTCATTAAATTAAAAATATTTTAATGTGTCAAACATGTTGTAGATTGAATGAAGTGTTATTTTACACCAACATTAACCTATCCATTGTTATTCAAAGTTGGAGGTAATGGATTGTAAAAATGTCCTGTTGGGTTACACAGCACAAAGACATCATTTGTGATCCTTTTTATCAGTGGCTGTACTTTGAAGGAAAATATTCCCAAAGCTTTTTTTCATTACATTTATAATTACATTGTTACCGTAACGCTTATAATAAAGATCTTGCACTTAATGAAAAGCCGTACATTTCTGAACATGGAATGACTTGTTGTTACATTCTATCCTACATTTTTCTTTCAACAGGCAACTTGCCTGGCAAGTAAAACAGAAATAAACATATTTTTTATTTATATTGAATCAAATATACAAATACATCACAGTGAAGTTGAAGTATAGTTGTAGTACATTTACAGAGTAAGTAATTATATTTGTGTGAATGTGGATGTATACCTATTTTAAAGGAAAGAAGAAATATTAGAAAAAATAGGTAATTTCAAAAGTGTTGGGAATATACTAGCAAACTAGAAACTTCAAAGATGCTGAAAGGAAATATTTTGTTCACTTCATGTTGAATTAATTGTTTAAAACCCTAAAGTTTCCGAATTGGAACCTGCCCATGCTAATCCTCTGTTCTTACATGCTTATTATTACTCTTGCTAGGCCTACTATGTTATTTTATTATTTCGAAGTTCATTAAGTATTGTTATATGACATGATCTGCAATTACAACAAGGATTGTTATAAAACTTAATGGTGCTCATTAAATTACCTGATGGCATGAGTAAAAAAAAAAATATATATATATAAGATTTTAGCAATTTCGTATATGATAAAGAAGGCATTTTCAAGTTAGCAAACAAAGGATTGATTGGGCCAAGTGGCTGCCATTCAGGAAATTTTTTATTTGAGACTATGCGCTAAACCCAAAAGTAACTTCCAGAGCAATTAAAATGCTTATTGTAAAAATAAAACTATAAAAGTAAAAGAATAAAAATATAGAAGATTATTTTTATAATCTCTTGGGTGTGGCGAAGATATTCCTAGGCAGAAAACATGAGTGAAAAAAACCAAGAGAAATATCAATGAAAAGACTGATAAGAGATAAGAGATTTTAAGCATGGTGGCTCACGCCTGTAATCCCAACATTTTGGGCAGGAGGATTGCTTGAGGCCAGAAATTTGAGACTAGCCTGGGAAACATAACAAGAGCCTGTCTCTAAAAAAAAAAATTAGGAAAAAAGATTATTTAAAAAAAATAAGAGATTTTGACTATATAAAGATCAAAAATATTTGTAGGACAAAAGATATCATAAAGGAGTTAAAAGTGAAAAGCAAGAAAAATATTTGAAAGATAAATAACAATGTATCAATAATGTCTAAAGGCCCTTTACAAATACATAAGCAAAAGACAGCTGTCCAAATGGAAAACTGGACAAAATTTACAAGCAGGCAATTCACAGAGGGAGTCATACACATAGTCAACAAACATGAAACAATATACAACGTCACTACTACCAGGGAAATGCAAATGAAGACAACATATAAATATTTTGCTCATCAAATTGGAAATTTTTCTGAAGGTTCATAATGTATGTTGTTGACAATGGTCTGGGGAAACGGATACTCATATACTTTTGGTAGGGAGTGTAAATCGGTTCATAATTGCTGAAAGTTAGTTATTTAAACCATTGTTCATTGAAGATTCTGTTACTTGCAGCTTCAGCATTCTTAATATCCTACATCAGGAGTAATGCTGAAGCTGCAAGTAACAGAATCCTCAATGAACAATGGTTTAAATAAATAGGGGTTTATTTTCATCACAAGAAATTTGAAGATAGTTGGTTGCATCAATTCAGCTGCTCAAGAAAGGGCTCGATAATAAATAAGCTCTGTGAGTCCTATCTAGTCTCTGTCACATATTCTCCTCCCCCTTCCTCTCTCCCCCTCCTCCTCCTCCTCCTCCTTCTCCTCTTCGTTCTTTTCTTTGCAACCTTTCAAAAATGTAAAATCCCTTCTAAACTCACAGACTGCCCCAAAGCAGGCCACAAGCCAAATTTGGGTCACAAGCCATTGCCTGGTAACTCCTACACTATATAATTAGTGGAAAAAAATCTGGAAGGATATGTCTAAGAAGTGAGTATTTCAAAGGAGTGGCAAGTTTAATGAGTGACACCAAATTCTACATACTCATTTTAAGAATATATAATCAACATTTATTTGTATAACATTTATAATTTTTAAAAGATCATATCCACTGGAGATGAGGCTGAATTATGAAGTATTTTGGAAACTCAAAACCCTCCAGATTTCTTCTTACCTGACCTTAATCTTTTTTACAACTTACCAACAGTGTGTCTCCAACTTCCCCATAAAGTAAAGGTCCCAGAATTCCTGATTCATACTGAATAGCTTCACGAGTCTTAAAGGTTTCATCTGTGTATGCCATAAACCGAACTTTTTTGTACTTCTTACCAATCCGCTTAGGACCATTGTTCAAATATTGACTTTTATAACTTCTGTAGGAAAGACAAAAATATGAGTAGAGTGGAAAATTAAAGATAGGCTCAAATCCACCTCTAAAACAGCTGACATGATTAATCCAGGCAAGGAGCAAGGAAAATACAAGCATCTCTGATGCTTAGCTGTTAGTCTCCAAATATGTTAACACCCTTGCCATTTGATTCCATACCTGTACCTAACCCTAAACATGGCTTAAGGACTTGTTGGTTTGAATAACTGACGAGAACCTTTTGAGTATGAGGAAGAGATAGTGCCAAGAGTCAAAAGGTGCTTACCTATCATCAGGGGTGAGGACTGAGGGAGCATAGTCCCAGTCTGCTTCTTCAGCAGCAATGTAATGTATCCAAGTTTTAGGATGCTTCTTGGCAACTGAGCGAATTTGAATAAAGGAAGGAGAATTGTCATCATCAAACTTGAACACATCCATTTCAGAATCAGCAAGATCATTATCATAATCTTCCTCTTCTTCATTGTTTTTCAACTGTAGTTGAGGTTCTTCTGGGCAGCTATCTACTTTGACATAAGCTTCCATGCCATCTGGAGTCAGACAAACCAAACAATATCAGACTCCCATGAGAATTTCCTGCCTTAACTTCTGTGATTTTTCTCTCTTTTATTAGGCCTTCAGTGCTCTCTTAAGCGACCCCCGCTCCATACCAATATCCCTTCTTAGAACTCTTCTTTATGTATTTATTCCTTTATGGATTACCTGGTACTTGCTAGTTTCTTCCTCTGGTCTTTGCACTCACCATTACTCTTCTTCCTGACTCTCCTCCACATATATTTTACTCCTTTTTCAAAACTTATTTTTTTGGTCTTATATACATATCAATATTTCCCTTATGGAGCTGGCTTTGAGCGTTTCACTCACCCACACCCAAATTATAAACAAGGAAACTTGAGAAACTGCATATTTTCAGCCAGAGCAGCTCCCCATTTCCACAGTCACCTGACAATTTCTGTATTTCCTCAATCGGATTATAATACAGATCATTTATTTAACAATATCTTATCAGGAAAAATGTTAGCATAGATATAAATTTTAAGATATATTCTAAGTTTGTGAAAATATGAAAAGATACAACTTAAAATAAAGGAGATATGTGTTTTAGGAGCATATCTGCCTGTGACTAGTTGTAAACTCTGTGGCAAGTCTGTTTAAAATTCTTAGTCTCATCGTTATGCTTTATAAAGTATGGATGTTAAAAATACCTGCCTATTTACACCATAGGGCTATTTTGAATATCAAATACTTCTAAGAAGGGAGACCTGTTTACTAGATTATGGGGAACAAGACATCTCAAGATAAAAGGATTTGTTTGAGGTCCAATAAGATAAAACATTTTTCTGAAAAATGAGGATTAAAATAAGTGGTGAGAACCTGTCAAAAGGATACAAAAAATTAAAACAAAACAAACAATAAACTCCTCTTAAACTGAATCAGCCTCAAACTGGGTAATGATCAATCTGTATTCAAGGAAATGACCTATTCCTCTGTGTCTGCAGGATTTTGTTTGTGCATCAGCTTCCTGTTACCCAATATGACTCTTTGTCCCCTAATGTCTTGTCAAAATCCCATAAATATTATCTAACATACTGGAAAAAGAGGTTTCTATTCTTAATCACTACAGAGGACTATAAACAAGGTCACTGATATAACATAAGGGGAAAAATGATGGATCTTGTCATGCAAGATCAAATCTCTTTTCTAAAGCAAATGAGGAACCTGAAGAGAAGGTTAATATGAAAGCAACAGGAACAAAGAAGTGCTATTAAACATGACAGATTAGAGTCTTCCTAACATTTTTATCCATCAACCCTTTGTATGGTTTGAATGTTTGTCCCCTCCAAAAGTCATGTGGGAATGTAATTTCCATTGTGACAGTATTGAGAGGTGAACATTTAGGAGATGTTTAGGTCATGAGGGTTTCACCCTCATGAATGGACTAATGCTGTTATCTTGGCAGTGGGTTCATGGGAATGGGACTGGGTTTGCCCCCTCTTGCTCTCTCTGTCACCCTGTCTTTGCCCTTTTGCCATATGATGCCTTCCACCTGCAGCAAGAAGGCTTTTGTCAGATGCTAGCACCTTGATATTGAACTTCCCAGCCTCCAGAATTGTGAGCCAATAAATTTCTGTCCATTAAAAATTACTCAGTCTGTGGAATTCTGTTACAGCAGCACAAACTGATTAAGACGATCCTCAATGGCCATAATACAAGAGTAAAGAGGGTTATTAGTTTAACATAAGTAAGAGTTTGCAGAGTAAATACACAAGACAAAAAATGGGGATAATAATGATGCAATCTGAATTTGCCTACCAGGTAGCTACAAAGGAAGTCACATTAACAATAAATTGAAACTAGGTATCATTGTCCCTACTTGCTTACACAGAACTTTTGACCCTTTGCAAAGTCCCCATCAAGTAGTCTTTGAAAACCTCACCTTAAAGCGATACAAGTGGATCTACCATTTGATCCAGCAATCCCATTATTGGGCATCTACCCAAAAGAACAAAAGTCACTCTATGAAAAAGACACCTGCACTCAAATGTTTATAGCAGACAATTCACAATTGCAAAGATGTGGAAACAACCCAAGAGCCCATCAATACATCATTGGATTAATAAAATGTGGCATATGTATACCATGGAGTACTATTCAGCTCTAAGAAACAACGGTGATATAGCACATCTTATATTTTCCTGGATAGAGCTAGAACCCATTCTATTAAGTGAAGTATCCCAAGAATGGAAAAACAAGCACCACATGTACTCACCAGCAAATTGGTATTAATGGATCAACACCTAAGTGGACATATAGGAATAACATTTATCAGGTGTTGGGCACATGGGGGGAGGGGATGGGTATATACATACATAATGAGTGCGATGCGCACCAACTAGGGGATGGACACACTTGAAGCTCTGACTCAAGGGGGTTGGGGGGACAAGGGCAATATATGTAACCTTAACATCTGTACCCCCATAATATGCTGAAATAAATAAATTAATTAATTAAAAAAGAAAACCTCATGTGATGCCTCACATATTCTAAACAGCTTCCACTCCCATGTTGCTTCTCCTAAAATCTACTACCTCTTGACATGCCCCAAGTTTCCCAGGTGTCTCTCCTCCAGCTGTCTGGTATCTCATGTTTAGCACTACAATGTTCTCTCATAGTTGCATTTAATACTTTGAGAATCACTACTTATATACTGGAGCCCTTATGGTTACAACCTAGACAGTGATCTTTTTTTCCATTTCACTAGATTTCTCTTCATAAAACACCTCTTCAGCTACAACCTTCAGTCCCTGTTTCCATAGTATTGAAGCCTAGTTAATGAGATCAAGCTGGGAAATCAATGACATACTGTCTTCCCCATTTTCCCTGCCGTATTCATCCCTAAACCACCTCTTCTCCCTCTATCACAGGCATTTAACTAAAAATCTACCAGTACTACTAATACTCAAGCCCTCTTATTCTCAAGGTAAAATCTTTACTCTGGATGGTAGCAACTAGGGGATCTCAATTGAGATCTAACATAGTAACTGTATGCCACCCTCTGCAACACACTATATTCATATACACTGTCCACTAAATTCTACCAAAAGTATAACTTGATATTTGAAATACTCGTTTTTAAGATCCAAGATATTACCATGTTGGTGGGAAGAGATATGGCAAAACAGTAGAAACTGTCCAAGGTCCATCAAGAGTGTCTGAGCAGTAAGGAAAGTTATTGGTGAAATTTCCAAGGAGGCCTGGCGATGGTTCCTCACAAGAAATGTATGACCCTCGAGGAATACTGAGTGAACTTCAGGAGTGGTGCCCATTCCAATCACATGCCAATAGACTGATTTCTTGTGGCATCCAATCAGACCTGTAAAGCAGGAATAAGATAGCTATGGGCTAAGAAGTAGAGAATTTGAAATGGAAAACACTTGCTAGGACAGGACGGACAAATTGACTTACACATTTCATCATTACCTTGGCTTGTAAACAAACTTACCAAGGACATTGGGGTACCATCAAACCAACAGCTCTTGACAAGATCACCAATCACCACCATGCTGCTAAATCCAATGGACATTTTTCAGTCTTCATCTGCACCTGTTGACTGTTCATTCCTTCTTGAAACTGTCTCCTCCCTTGGCTTCTGTGCCAACACCTCTTCTGAGTTTTGTTCCCCTACTGTTCAGACTGCTTCTTCTTCTGTCTCCTTTCATGACCTCTCCTGGAACTCCAGACTCACGCATCCCATCACCTTCTCAATATCTCTACATGGATATTTCATAAAACCTACATGTCCCTAACCAAATTTACAATCTTCATTACCTCATTATCCTTCAGAGTTCCTCATCTCAGTGAATGGCACCATCCTGCATTAAATTATGCAAGTGAGAATTATCTTTATCACCATTCTCACCTGCAATAGCTAATCTAACTCCAACTATGGAAATATAATTAATAATATTTATTGAGCATTTGTTTTATGTCAAACCCGGTCCAAATATTTTAAAAGTTTTAACTCATTCATTCCTCATAACAGCTCTATGAATATAGAAACTATTATTATCATCCCTCTCTTATAGGAGAGGAAACTGATGTCCAGAGAGGTTAATTAATTGGCTCAGGATTTGAACCCAAGCAGCCATATATTCTGATCCCACACTGTCAACTAGGAGGGCAGAGCTATCTCCTATTTTGGTCTTTAAAGCTTTCAAATATATCTATTTTTCTCTATTATTACTACTACTGTCATCTAAATCCAAGCTATCATTATCTCTTATCTGAACCACTGATATAGCTTCTTTACAAGTCTCCCCACATTTGGTCATATTCGCCTCTAACACTTTCACCATAAGGAAACTGATGTAATATTTTTACAGTCAGATCCTCTGTCCTAAAACCCTTCAGTGGCTGTCATTCCACATAGAATAAAGTCCAAACTCTCTACTAAGGACTAGAAGGCCCTAATTTGTTTAACCACTTCGGTACCAGCGTCGACTATAGTCGATAGCCACAGATGAATATGCACAGCGACTTTAGCCGACAGCCATGATATGACTTTTCTACTTTTTCATTTATCAAAATAAAATTGTGAACATTTAAAAATAACGTAATTAATACATGTACATATATGTTACCTATTCTGATTTACATTACAAGTAAAGCTGGTGTAAAGTAAAACAAACAAAAAGTAATCATGCGGACTATGAGTGCCAGCTGTGGGCAAGGTTTTGCAGCCGGTGAGCGCTGTACCGAAGTGGTTAGTTCCTGGTATCTCGCCAATCTCATCTCACATTGTCTCACTTCCTTATTCTAGATCCTGTTTCAAAGTTCAGTTCCAGTTGGCATGTCCTCAGGGAAGCCTCATCTGTCCCCAGTCTAGGTCAGACTCTTTATTATTATGTTAACTTAGAATGGTGTAATTTTCCTTCAGAACAATGCTCAGCTTTTTTTTTTTTTATTTCAGCATATTATGGAGCTACAGATTTTAAGGTTTCAATAAATGCCCATTCCCCCCTCCCCCAACAAGTCTGAGTTTCCAGCATGATCATCCCCCAGATGGTGCATATCTCACTCATTATGTATGTATATACCCTCCCTCCCCCTCCCACTGGCCCAATACATTATTACTGTAGTACCTATGTGTCCACTTAGGTGCTGCTCAGTTAATGCCAGCTTGCCGGTGAGTATATGTAGTGTTTGTTTTTCCATTCTTGGGATACTTCACTTAGTAGTATGGGTTCCAGCTCTAACTAGGAAAATATAAGATGTGCTATATCACCGTTGTTTCTTAGAGCTGAATAGTATTCCATGGTATACATATACCACATTTTATTAATCCATTCTTGGATTGATGGGCACTTGGACTGTTTCCACAGCCTTGCAATTATGAATTGTGCTGCTATAAACATTCGAGTGCAGGTGTCTTCTTTGTAGAGTGTCATTGGATCTTTTGGGTAGATGCTCAGCAATGGGATTGCTGGATCAAATGATAGATTCACGTGTATCACTTTAAGGTATCTCCATATTGCTTTCCACAGAGGTTGATTGAACTAGTTTGCAGTCCCACCAGCAGTGTAGGAGTGTTCCTCTCTCTCCGCATCCACGCCACCATTTATTGTTTGGAGAATTTTTGATAAAGGCCATTCTAACTGGAGTTAAGTGATATCTCATTGTGGTTTTGATTTGCATTTCCCTGATGATTAGAGATGTTGAGCATTTTTTCATATGTTTGTGGGCCATTCTTATGTCTTCTTTCAAAAAGCTTCTGTTCACGTCATTTGCCCACTTTTTAATAGGGTTATTTGATTTTTTTCTTGCTGATTTTCATGAGTTCTAAGTATAATCTAGTTATCAGCCCCTTATCAGATGCGTAGGATGCAAAATTTTCTTCCATTCTGTAGGTTGTTGTTACTTTCATGACTATTTCTTTGTTGCAGAAGCTTTGTAGTTTGATCATGTTCCATTTATTTATTTTTGTTGGTGCTGTGGTTGCCTTTGGGGACTTCTTCATAACTCTTTTTGCCTAGGCGATGTCTAGGTGATGTTTCCAACATTTTCCCTCGAATTTTAATAGTTCGTACCTTAGCTTTAAGTCTGTTATCCAGCGTGAGTTGATTTTGTGGAGTGAAAGGTGTGGTCCTGTTTTAGCCTTCTACAGGTGGCTATCCAGTTTTCCCAGCACCATTTATTGAAAGGGATTCTTTCCCCAGCATTGTTTTTGTCTGCTTTGTCAAAGATGAGATGGATATAAGAGGATGGTTTATATTCAGGGTTCTCAGATCTGTTCCACGGTCAATATTCCTATTTTTGTGCCAATACCAAATTGATTTAATCACTAGAGCTTTGTAGTACAGTTTGATATCTGGCATATTAATACCTCCCATTTTGTGTTTGTTGCCTAGAATTGCTTTTGTATTCGGGGTCTTTTGGTCCATCGAGCGTAAAATTATTTTTGTCTAATCTGGAAGAATGCTGATGGGATTGTTAATGGTATTGCATTTGAATCTGTGATCGTTTGGATAGTATAGACATTTTAATGATGTTGGTCTGCCGATCCACGAGCATGTATGGATTCCATTTGTTTACATCCTCCGCTATTCCCTTCCCCAGTGATTTCATATTCATAAATTATGAAAAGACCTCTACAGGTCTTTCATTAAAAGACCTTTAGAGGCTTTTACCACATGTTTAAGTATATTCTAGGTACTTTAATTCTTGTGTATTGTGAAGGAAAATTGAGTCTTTGATTTGATTCTCAACTAGGTTGTTGTCGGCGTATATGAGATGCCTTGATGTCTTTGTATGATTTGTATCCTGAGATTTACCAAATTCATTGACAGTTCCAGGAGTTTCTTGGTGAATATTTGGTTTTTCTAGATATGAATTATCATATCATCCAAGCAAAGATTGAATGTTTGAATCTCTTCTGCCCCTATGTTGGATACCTTTAATTCATTTTCTCGATTGCTGTAGCCAAGGACTTCAGCACTATGTTGATAAAAGTGGAGATGTGGTAGCCTTGTCTGGATCCAGTCTTAGAGTGGGAATGTTTTCAATTGTTTCCCATTCAGTAAGATGTTTGCTATGGGTCTGTCATATATGGCTTGTATCATTTTTAGTATGTTCCTCTTATGCCTATTTCTTAGTGTTCGTATCTATGAAAGGGTGTTGAATTTTGTCAAAGCTTTCTGCATTTATTGAAAGAATCCATTGGTGTCTTTGTTTTTGCTTCTTTATTGGTGGTGAATTGCATTATAGATATAGTATGTTGAACCATCCCTTCATCCCTGGGATGAAGCCACTTTGGTGAGATGGTTAATGTTTTGATAAGGTGTCTGGCTTCGTTGCTAGATATATGTTGAAATGTTTGGCCCCCCCTTCTGTTTCATTAGGGATATTGGTCATATAGTTTCTTTTTTGTTGCATCCTTTCCTGTTTTTGTATCAGATAATATTCGCTTCATAAAAGTGTCGACGAGGTTTCGTCTTCTCGATATTGTGGAATAGTTTCTGCAAAGAATAGGTACTAGTTCTTCTTTGTAAGTGTGGTAAAATTCAGGTGTAACCATCTGGACGGACTTTTCTTTTTAGGAGATTTTTAATTAGTGTTTCTTTCAGCTCGTGAGGTTGGTCTTCAGGAATTCTATTTCTTCCTGTTTGAGCTTAGGGAGGCTGTGTGTTTCTAGAATTTACCTCCCACTTCTAGTTTGTGTGCATAAAGATTTTTGTATATTACATAAATTATCTTGTATCTCTTTGGATCAGTTTGTATATCTCCTTTTTGTTCCTGATGAGCTTATAGAGATTTCTCTTTTCTGCTTTTCATTAGTTAGCCAATGGGCGTGTCATTTTTGTTATTTTTTCTTAAAACCAACTTTTTGTTTGTATTAATCTCCTGATATAGCTTCCCTGTTTTCTTTCGTTCTTAGTTCTGATTGACTTGTGTTTCACTTTCTGCTGGGTTGAGGTTGGTCTGTCTTCTTTTTCCAGCTCTTTGAGTCATTCGTTAGATTGTCTATTTGTGATCTTTCTTGACTTTTGGGTTATAGCATTATGGAAGTAAACTTCCTCTTAGAAACTGTTTTAGCTGTGTCCGAGGATTGAAACTTGTTTCCTCCATTGTCATTTTGTTATAGAATTTTGTATTTCCATCTTGATTTCTTCATTTTATGAAGTAATCATTTAGTAGCAGGTTGTTTAATTTCCCATGAGTTTGTGTTTTAGAATGTGAGATGTTGGACACAACAAAAAAAATTACAGACCAATATCCTTCATTTAATACAGATGCAAAATACTAATAAATTTAGTGATAGATTCAGCAGCACATCAAAAATAATTCACATGGGACCAGGTTGCTTTACGATATGCA